CAGTGCACCAGTCTCGGTAATCGCCCACGAACTTTGGGGTCGGAAAACCTCGGACAGATTCACAGTATGATTTGTTGGAAGTGAGAGTGTTTTGCGAATGTTTTTAAAGCCCCTTTGAAAAAGACGTTCAAACAAAGGATTACTAATACTTGGTTGTCATAAAGGAGACGTTTCATCACAGGTTCTGGGTAAAAATACACAATACAAACGATCATTGTGCACATTATGTTCTCCAGTACTAGGATAATGTGCTCCAATGAAACACTAGAGTTCGGTTTTCCCTGCGTATCCACGATGCTGCACGAAAATGATACCCTAAAAAGATTATTACAAAGTATGGAGCACCGTTGAATAAACCAGAACACCACCAGACACCCCTAAAAAAGCTGACTTTGTCACCAAACCGTTCAAAGATGATCAAAATGACAGACGGATACAGCGCAGGTTGAAACAAGCGATTGGAGGAACATATATTACTGCCTCCCTTGTAATATTGCAGGGCATTAAAAGAATGCTCTCTGAATCCAATCTAGACAACCCCATCTATTCAGTTACCTCCTCTTGTGTTTACCCATTTCAAAGTGCTTGTGGTAGTAACTACGTCGGAACAATTGAGAAACGATTGTCTACCGGGATAGCAGAGCACACACGGAAGAATTTGGCGTCTAACGGGTTCGAGCTTCCGTCCAATTCAACCGCTCGTCATTTGATGGATTGCAAAGAATGTGACAAACCTAGGGACGCCTTTCGTGTCTTGATCAGCCAGAAAGGTGGCCGTTTATTACGATTGGCTGAGGCAGCTGCCATTGGACGTTACAAAACCGATCTACCGTGATGTGCGTCACCCTGCAGTGATTCCGCTCCGCGCCACATGCCCGGGGGATCTTCCATTGTTTCCTCTCCACATAGCTTTGAGAAACCACTCAGCATTTCACTCCAATTTGCACAGTTTGATTTTTAAATGCATAATGTGTTACAAAAGCTGCGCAAAATAACTCATCCTGTTGAGAACTCACTGTTTGCATGATATACTGATGGCGACCATCAATCTGTTAAATGTAACAAAAGGGTGAAAAAATACGAAAACATCAATCGAGGAAAGGGAAATTCTGTTCAAGTGTTTATATCAATCACATTTTTACAGTATGATGAGTTTGATCGCTTTCATTCAATTTCTGCCAGTCCCATAATTAAAAGCTGTGCCCCACCATCGCTTAGTGTGATACAAGAATGCTTCACACAAGTCCCAAAAACAATCCCACTACTACGACTGATAACTATTTATAAGTTTTTATCTTCCTAAATCCCTTGGAAATTGATACAAACCCAATTTTCAGGAGAGTTTAAACAACACAGAAGTGGAAGGGCTATACACTTAGGTTACATTGCCGAATGACACTCTTGATGCACCGAATTAAATTATTCATTATTTATACTTACTCCAAAGAAGCTCTCGTAACTCAGCCTCGAAGTAAAGCATCAATTGTTTGTTAATTAGTTTTCCAACTTCATCAAATACAATTCAATTTTCTTTCAACCAACCAACTTTTTTCTACCCTAATCCCGGAAACTCATTATTCCCTGTCAGTTATAGTTATTCTTCATACATTTTCCTTGACAACGCTACACATTAGAGGCGATCACCATGGTAACTTATCCAACATATTCTCGAGGCAATACTAATGTTATCTGTGTATATAGGACCGATAATTGTTTTATGAACGCATACAATTCAAAGGTGGCCATTTCTGATCTGGTCAGTCCCAAATCAAAATCGACCCTAAANGACCCTAAAATGAACTGAAACAATTCACATCAGCAAGGTTGACAAATTCCCAATCGTTGTAGGAATCACACGTATAAAGACTGAAGGAGCTATTCTCCTTTTTGTCACCCCCCCCCTCCCTCCCTCTCAGTGGCGATTGCGTTACCTTATGATGGATAATTGATAGCACAGACCGTCATCGGTCTCATGGGTGGTGGAACACATACCGAGGTGGTTCATGAACTCGATATTGCAAAACAGTCCTGCAACACAGACAGTACATGGGCTTCGTAGATTACGGAATATCTCATGAAAAGAGGTGATCGATTTAACCAATCCCGAGTGTCCAAAACTGTAAGTAGTCTAGGATGTCACTTAAGTTTGTCTACAATGTGTATCATAGTCATGTTGCTTGAGTAGAAGCAACCAACAGCGCACCAAAAACAAATTACTCCAAAATAACTAACTTTTTCATGTGGGTATGGGGGATTTGATTCAATTTCAAAGAAGAAACTCGTCTTGTACAGAGCAAATAAGCGTGAACTGAAAAAACTAGGAAGCGCTGTATAACTTTTTTGATCTGGTTAGGTATCATCAGCAGTGCAAATCCATCGACCCAACTGGGGCTCAAACCCAGGAAATCACAGGTAGATCGCAAGCACACTACCCACTCGGCCACCGGTAAGTTGATAAGACCGTTTTTCATTTTCCAGTTACACAATATAGCACAACTAACAGTTTGCACAAACCAGAAGCTTCAAAAGTCACAAAATACCAAATACAGAAATCAGTATAATTTTTGCCGGCTAGTGAATTCGGGATGCCGAAAAATAGAAGAGATTGGCTGGTGTATTTTAGTTTGTGTTACAAAAAGATTCGCCAGGTGAATAACCAGAACCAACCGAAGCGGTTTCTTAGTTTCGTTACTACTATCTGACACAAACTGGATGAAAAAAAGGATATTCTTTTTCGTACTGGTGATACGCGTGGTGCTTATGATTTTTCAATTCGATGGTAAATAATCGTCATCCATAGGACACTTGACCAGGACAAATCGGTACTCGCACAACGAAACACATTCCATTTATGCGCAAATGTGTTCTACCTGTAGAATGATTTTTCGCGCTCATACACGCTACACTTTTTCATCTTATCCAAAAGCAGATTGCTTTTACGGATCTCTGAAAACGGGGGAACGGATTTAGCGCGAGTATTTTCCGCCATGATAAGCAAGAAGTGCTTTACACGTAAAACCATCATTTTCGACCGAAGAAACCATTTTCATTCAGTTTTCCAGTGTTTACCACATGCTAGGTTGTAGACTCTACGTTACTGCATTTGCTGTCCGAATTCCCAGTTAGTCAGAAATGCAGGATTAGAAAAATTGCCTGCTCAGAAGTCTTCAGTCACTATTCATAATAATCGATTAACACAACACACCGCACTTACAGTCGATCGCCGTTCTTCACGCATTTGACGCCATTGCTTCTGTCTTTCGCGTTTTGCCTCAGCCTTACTCACAGGACTGATGCGCACGGGTCTTGTCTCCTTAGGAATCAAACAGCCAAAAAACAAATCGACAGGATAGGAATGAGCTTGATAAAATGACAAATGGCCATTTAATTCCAAGCAATACTATCTGCGTGTATTAGGATTATGCAAATTGGAACTTTGTAATACCACTAGATGACCTTGGAAGTAATGCGGCTTGCACACAGTGCCAGGAAGGGGCCACAGTCCGAATTCCAAGTTCATTATCACACCTGATCCCATTCCGTGCACAATATCGTACTTCGTACCATCATCTCGTGCAATACTGAATCAACTTACTCATAATTCAAATCATTTGATCTAGAGAGAGGGAAGTTTATTTATTTACGGGAATCCAGTGGCTTCATGCGCTGACACACTCACCCAACTTTGACCACATCTACGGATTAACAACTTGCGTAGTTTCGTGATTGAGTCTATCGAATAATAGTCAACTACACACTACAACCTGACCTTGACCGTCCATGTCGTCATAACCTATTGTTTGCTCCTTTATCTGTGCTGTTTGTGCGAGCGAAAGTCTCGATTGTCAATTTGCTTTTGGGTGCGATCGGCTGTTCTTCATTTCGCCCTATATATGATCCGTAAGAAGTTGATGATGAGTTTAATAGATCTCCTATTTTCTTCTCTCTCACCGTTCTGGACGGAGTTTCGGGGAGATGAGGCAGAGTTTTGAGCAAGTCCAACTCAAATTTGTTTTTCTGTCTGATGCACGGCCGGATCGACATTGCCGACTCTGAAGTGTCCATACCAGGTTATGTCCTGTTTCGGGCGGATAGGAA